GGAGAGGGAATAAAAGCTTTTCTTGATGGGATGGAATGGTAAATACATCTTGCAAGTTTAACCTACAAATAACAAACAGTATTTTTTGTGGGAAGATATGTGTATACAATTTAAAACATGGGCAAAGGATGGCATGACATTTGATTAAGAAACAAATAATTTTGTCATCAGCCTTGCATGGGACTGCAACCCAGTAGTATTCAAAACTAGTAACATACTGTTTTGATGAAGTTAAGATTGCATGTTGAAAAGATACTTTCAAATGCTATGGAACAAGAACACAACTTTAGGTATTTGGAACTAGGAAGGCATTCTGGAATTTATCTCAGTGTTTACTCTCTGGGAAAGATATCTTGTGATAAAATCTAGCTTCTTTCTTACTTGGGAGTTCTGTATCTTCTGCAGCATATAAAAGAAAATTATCTATGTTTGGAAATACAAACATCAAGTTAAGAAATAAGGAATAAAGAACAGAGAAAGTTCTCTCCTTCTGAAATGCCTCAGAGGGCCATAAAGATGTTCAATCAATGATAAAAATAAAGCGGGATGGGGAGAAAACACTCTCAAGAGTCCAGAAAACAAAGGTAGGATAAATTCTAGGAAGCAAATATGCTCTTTTTGTAGGTTCCTTTCCTGTAAATGAATGCTTTAAAAAAAAAAAATCAGCTACAATTTATTATATACTCACTGTGTGCCAGACATGTATATTATATTACATAGACAAGTATAGGTAACATCACTTTTCTTCCACTATATTTATCCTTTCTTTTGTTTTCAAATATTCTTTGCTTTTCAACAAAGTATGTTGAAAATGAAATATGAAGTCTTTTTAAAAAATTTCAGGGCTGGGGATGTGGCTCAAGTGGTAGCGTGCTCGCCTGGCGTGCATGCGGCCCAGATTCGATCCTCAGCACCACATGCAAAAACAAAGATGCTGTGTCCGCTGAAAACTAAGAAATAAATATTATAAAATTCTCTCTCTCTCTAGAAAAAAAAATATTAAAAAAAATTTCAGGTTATAGTGGTAGGAACTAGATAAAATAAGGAAGGAACATTTACTGGATATATATGGCACACTAGGCAAATGTTAGGTACATGATACTTTTATAACAACATCTGAGATACCCATTTTTCTCTCCTTTTACATATAGAAACATTGAGATTCAGGGCAGGGAATCAAGCTCAGGGCTAAAGTGCTTCCTAGCATATATGAGGCCCTGGACTGTATTCCTAGCACCAGAAAAACAAACAACCCCACCCCCACCAGGTTCACAGAATCAAAAGCAACTCCCTCCAAAGTTATAAAATAAAAAAAGCTAATTAAAAACAATTTGATCAGTAAAAGCATAATTGACAGAATAAACAATATTTTAAATTTAACATACTAAACAAGATATTTTATGAGTAAACCAAGATAGGTAATATATTTTAACACTCAAAATAAAAAGAAAATGGTCTTTAATCTTAAATTAATTACAATCTTTGCCCTCTGTGTGATTTTGTTATTTATGTCTTTTGAGTTTTAAGTTCCTCATTTGTAGGGTAAATTACAGAACTGTGTGACAAAGATTAGATGATACAAATAATGGTTAACACAATTCCTCACAATTGGAAGTCCTGCACCACTAACAGTAAAATAAAGTCTATAAAGGATGCTAACAAATATGCTGCAAATGCTTCCTTTTTTTTTTTTAAATTTACAAATTACTAGGCGGGGAATAAAACTGTCCCCAACCACTGCCCAGTGGTTTACAATTCTCTTCCCCTGCTGGGCATGGTGGCACATGCTTGTGGTCCCAGCAATTTGAGATACTGAGGCAGGATGATTACAAGTTTGAGGTCAGCATGAGCAACTAAGACCATGTGAAAATAAAAAAATAAAAGGACTGAGGATGTACTTCAGTGGTAGAGCTCCCCTGGCTTCAATCACTAGGTGGGGAGGGAGGACAATTCTCTTAAACCTTGTATCTTAGCAATAATCTGATACAGATTTAAAAAACAGGAACAGCTGGTGTAGACATAAAGAACAAAAACTAGACCTGGAGTTAAAGAAATGAGAGGTGAGGTTTGGGAACCCTAAAAAGGAAGAAAAACCATCTGCAAAGTCAAAGTATCATCCACGCTTTTTAGAAACTTCCAGATAACCTTAAGTTAGTTACAAATATCTTCTGTAGCTACTGGCCAGGAGAGCCATGCTATGACAGCTTATCTCTTCTCATATCTAGACTGATCTTATGTGTTCCTCAATTGTGCACTGGAGTGGGAGGTTAGGTCTGTAGTAGGAAATTATAAAAGCTGCATCTCGTACAGAATTTAGCAATGCTATCCTTTTCTAGATGTACCCTGAACTTGTTAGTTTTTTTACACCTTTGCCTTTTACCTGTCTGGCCTATCTTCCCCTTCTTTAGTAGATGAACTGCTACTCTATCTTCCCAGATAAAGCTTAACTGTCAACTCTTCCAGAAGTCACTAGTACTTCCCAAGGCTCTGTTACCAAAGCATTTGGTACACAACTTCACATGCTTCACTCAAAGTCTGGATGAGTGGCAATTCTGAATTCCGAACATTACTTTCAAAAGTTGTAGTTAGTATGTTATTCTAATCATTATAAAATATACACATTCCATTTTCATTTTATAAACTTTCACTTTTCAATTCACAATGTTCAATGTTTACAAAGTGTACATTTTTCAGTAAAAGCATTCAAACAGAAAATCACAACTATAAACTCTTAATTTTAAGAAGGTAAATAACATAATTATTCTTAGATGTTATTTTTCTATTAGTTTTCAAAGTATCTGCTCTATATAGGTTTTTTTTTTTTTTGTCTTTTAAAACCCTGAGATTTCAATCTATACTTTATTAAGTAAAGAGAAAAATATAGTATTGACTTGTAAGATTTCCTAATGGTTTTTCAAATATCAGAATTCAGTGGCTTTTCCTTTCCTGGACACCTGAGACAATACAGAGAAATACTTTCAAGTAGCAAATGCTGTAATAATTATGAATGTAAGAAATACTGATGACTACCTGTCTCTTTTCTGACTGTTCTTTCCATTTTTCCTTTTTGTTTTAAAAATGAAAGAACTAGCTGAATTTAGTGGGCAAATGCTATAGTGGGCATAGCTATCCCAGTTACTCAGGAGGCTGAGGGAGAAAGATTGAGGCCAGCCTTGGCAACTTAACAAGAAAGATCACATCTCAAAATAAAAAATAAAAGGGCTGGGATGTAGCTCAGTGGGAGGCACCCCTGAACTCCATAACCAATATCTAAAACAAACAGAACTACGAAATCTGAGAATATGTTGTTTTAAGATTAATGTTAGGTTCAGAAGAAATAAGATGTTGTTTAAATTTACTATCTTAAAAAAAAAAAAACCTATGCAGTTCTACTAATATGAACATGTAATTTAACTTTTATTATTCCCATAGAATTATAGTAATAAATTATAAGAAAACTGCACACTTACCTGCTTTAGCAGTCTGCCAGTTTTAATATGATTTCTGTTAATCTAACTGAAATCATCTGTTATACTGTTTGAGCCACCTATCCTTGCATAGCACACAACTGTTAAAATGTAAATTGCTGGACTATTTTTAGCTGTTGTTGAAAAAAAAAAATTCCTGTCTTCGGGAATAATGATTTGAAGCATTGTGTTCATTTTGTTTATCAAGCAGCTATTCAGCCTCTAGTGGGCCCAAGTGCTTATGCAAGCAAAAGCTTTTAAGAATGTCTGCAGCTGCAATCCAACCTTCCAGGTAAACTGCAGGTTCAGAGCCCAGCTGCCCTAGGCTGCGTAAAACTCAGTTCCATCTGGAACTGAGTTTCAAAGAGGATTTCAAATTCTACTTTTTATATATCACACGGAAGAAAAGGCGGGGGAAGAACATAGGAAAGAAGGAAGGCAAACAACCAAAAAGATGATATCTCTAGTTTAGCCTTAATAAAAAATAAAAAGCTTAGACCCATGCTGCTACTTCTAGATTACTACTTGCCAAGCCGGATATTCCTTTCAGTCTATACTTCGATGAGCTGTGACTCATCCGGCAGCACCTGCGCCCATGTGTTAAGTACTGCCAAATAAAAGCCCAACATCCATTTACACAACAAAGAGATGTACCCTACAAGGCATCAGGGCCTCAATTCAACAGCTTCACTCCCCATTTGTTCTAAGCAAAGGGAGAGGGGAAAAAAAATTCCTTCTCTGTACTAGAGATTTTTAAATTGTAGGTACATTTATGATGTAGCTTCAATTATAAATACTTTTGCTCCTTTAAAGAATAAAGTATATTAAAATAGCACCCCCCAATAGTATTAGACTATCACAGTCATTAATGATTGTTCCACCAAACCTTTCCAACCTCCTTCATCAAAGCCCTTTATTCTCAAAGGATACATTTTTGAGCAAAGAGGGATCAACAAACTAGTTGCTTGAAAGCTTTCCTGATGCTAGGCTGAAGTTAGGAAAGGCTTAATGAAGGCTTTAAAATCCACAAGGGCTTCACAATGAACATCTGACTTGGTGATTTATGCATATTAATAACCTCAGTCCTACTGAGGCAAGCTGAGCTGAACATGTCCTCCGAATCTTAATGTCTTTAGCTCCATTGGGATTATTACAAATGTAAATTTCTAAGATTCTCAGCTATTAATCTCTGTCTGTCCTCCTGTTCAGCAACATAATGACTAATTAAACATCAAAAGACCTGTACAGGAGATCTTCTTTGACAGCCACTGGCCTAGTCCTCTTCCCAAGAGGGGAATTCAAATGACAGGGACATGGAGTAAGAACATATGAGTAAACTACAAATCACTGCTGAGAAATCTAAAAGCCTAACACTAAATGTGGATTTATTCAATCAATGACTTTGTTAAGTACTGAATAGTTACTTTGTGAACTATGTCCACTGGCACCAATCGAATGTACCCTTGTAACAAGCAAACACTGAACACTTGAAATCAATCTATTTGTTATCAAGTCAGAAAAGTGGGTACTCACAGAAGAAGGCAGACCGGGAGGCACCTTTCTGACTTTCTTTGCTTGCAAAGGATCTGCACATGGAAAACAACATATTTAATTAACGTATATATTATAGTAGGAAAAAACCCCCATCAAACTGCAAATGAATAGGAAATAATTGTTCCCCTAATGCCTTTCTTGTCTTCAATATTTCAGATCGAGCAAAGGAATATAAAAATGGGCACTTCATTTCTTTTAACTGGTATATAGCAAGTTCTTCTAATAACATGGTACATTCTAAAATACATCTGGGGTAATGGTTATCCCAGCAACTCAGCAAGCTAAGACAGCAGGATCATATGAATTCATGGGTTCAAGACCAGCCCGGGCAACAAAGTGAGACTCCATCTCAAAACAACAACCAGGCGTAGTGGTGCAAGCCTATAATCCCAGCAACTGAGGAGGCTAAGGCAAGCAAACTGCAAGTTCAAGGCCAGCCTGGGTCCATCTCAAAATAAAAATAAAAAATGACTAGGGCTGTAGTTCACTGGTAGGTAGATCGTCCCTGAGTTTAACCCCCAGTGTGACAAAAACAACAAAAAAACTTGGAATGTATATCGTATAAGTCTGGGAAGATAACAGCCAATGAAGTAAAACGAGAGGAAACGACAAAAATAAGCATTTTGGGGGCTGGAGTTATACTTCATTTATGTATGATGTGTCAAAATGTATTCTATTGTCATGTATGACTAATTAGAATAAATTTAAAAAACTTTTTTTTTTTTAAAATCCTTCAGCTCAGAGCTGTGGTTATAGCTCAACAGTAGAATACTTGCCTAGCACTGGGTCCGATCCTCAGCACCAAATATAAACAAACAAACCAACCAACAAACAAATAAGTCATGAATTTGCTACCTTAATAGAGACACAATTTCAGTGTCTGTATCAAATGAAAAATTAGGTTTATAAGCTCATTTTAAATACACGTTTAATCCAGGAACTCAGGAGGCTGAGGCAGTAGGATCACAAGTTTGAGGTCAACCTTAGCAACTTAGTGAGGTCTATCTTAAAATAAATACAAAAGGGTTGGGGATATAGCTCAGTGGTAAAGTGGCCCTAGGTTCAATCCCCAGTACCAAAACCAAACAAACAAGCAAACAAAAAACCAAAAAACAATAACAACTAAGAGAGCTAACGCAATGCTACAATTTATTATGTTAAAATTTAAAGAATGAAAAATTAAGGTATTATAACAACAAGACATGCTACATAAACTATTAAATATAGGCACTGACATACACAATGTCATTCAGTATGGAGGAAGAACATTAATAATGTGTGGTTAAAACTGCAACTTTAGCACTATTGTACAATTTGTCCTTGAATGCCTTATTTATTTCCAGTAAATAAGTAGATGGAGAAAGTATATTTCTTTCTAAGATATATTAAGAATTCTTAAATGGGTTCACTATTAAGAAGAGAGAACACATAAGAAGGCTAATTTATAATATAACATTTTTGAAAACTGTAAAAATAAGAATCAAGTACAGTACTTTCCTAGGTCCTAAACACAATAAAATATGCAGTTTTAGAAAGAATGAGGCCCATTTATATTTGGGCTGGGAATTCTCTATAGTGAGTGTCCCAGAAGGCTATGAAGCTAAAAAAAGCAACTTTATAAGTAGCCTGTAGAAAAAAATTTATACAATAAAAGGGAGAAAATGCATTCATTAGCATCTATGTCCCTAACCCAAGACACAGCCTACATTTCCTTAAAACAGAAATACCAAAGATAAGCAACACTGGCATGCTCTGTTTTGTAAAACTTTCTTTGTGAAGTATTTTTGAAGCCCAACTCTTTACAACTGCTACAGAATTCCTTGAGCAAAAGTCACACTTTTTTACTACAACAGTCAATTGTTCCTGTTAGTTTGGAGTTGGGGCCATTACTAACAGAAGACGTTGCTTTAGTTTGCATTTAGTTGCTACTAGTTTTTACCTGCCATTAGCTGCCACTATGCAATCACATAAAAATGGCTGATTTAAAGTTTAACCTTGGATGCACAGTTCACTTTTGGGAAGTTGGAAACTGGTTTAGACAGTAAGCTGGCAGAATTTGAATTTCAGCTATTACAGCTGTGTGATATAGAACAGGTTACTAAATCTCTTTAAGCTTCAGTTCCCTCATATATGCAAAGAGGTTAATCAGATATTATTCTTGCAAAATGTTGATTTCCTAGAGCATCTAAATGGTTTGAGAAGATGCTGAGGTTTCTGTAGATCTCCAAAGTTGTTCTAAACAGAATTTATCAATAACTGCAATGTTAAGAAAAATAGCTAAGACTGAGAAATAACAATGGGATATGTAGTAATTGCTCAATAAATAACCCACACAGAAGGTGGATGGGCCTCCCTGGGAACCAAGAGAACCACCACATTCCCCACTCAGTCTTAGGTAAATTACTTAGCTCCTTTGAGTTTTGGATCCTTATTTTTAACGTGAGGTTAACATTACTATCTTGAGTTTTTGAAAGATGGAGTGTGTATATAGCACCATATCTAGAATGGCAGAGATGATCAACAGTAAGTACATCATAATCAAAATGAAGAAGATACAAGCTTTAATTTACAAAAAGCTTGAATTTTAAGTCTAGATTTTTATAAAATCTATCCCATTCTTTCTTAGTTATTTCAACAGTTGATTTTTTTTCTTCTTGAACTCTCAGTAATAGTATATTGTTCTATATTAGTGCTTTTTGTCACAGCAAGAGCTCACACAGTATACTAACAAGATAGTTTTTATAGTGACACTGATACATATAGACTCCAGTGAATGTTCCTACCACAATACATTAGGTAGGAAACCAGAGTAGAGATGCAGAAATTTATTTTACAGTTTATCATATAACCATCCAAAACATCAGGGCTGACTTTTAACATTATACACACTAAATCATCTATGATACTGAGATGTGGGTACATCTAGTTACAGTTTTCTATACTGAATGTAAGACTCCATCACTGTGTCCTTTTATACATACCTCAAACATGGCCTAGAGACCAGAAATATTTAGGTCTTACAAAAGACAGAGTCATTCAATGAATACTATGCAATAAGTATGACATCCTTTATATTATTTATTTGCTTTAAAAGGTGGCCTAACTTTAATATAAACATGTTTTAAAACTTTAAATTTTTTTGTATAAAGGATCTTTGGTAGGAATCACCAAGAATTCTGACATTTAAAAATAGATTGGATAAGACTTCAAAGAACATCTGAGGCTTGCTGTAAGCAGCAAGAGAGAACAGACTGGCTTGGTTAGGTTATGTATTAAGACATAAAAGAAGAAAGCTAAAAAGCGAGAATGCAGTAGTTCTGAAGTGATATTTTGGAATGAAACAGAGGTGAGAGCTGCACAACACTGTGAATGTACTGTATGGCATTCTATTGGTACACCTTAATGTGATTAATTTTATATCAGTTCAAAGAAAGTGGGGCTGGGTGTGGGGACACATACCTGTAGTCCCATCTATTTTGGAGACCAAGGCTATAGGACTATTTGAGTCTGTGAGTGCAAGACCAGACTGGGGCTAGGTATGGTGGCCCAAGCCTATAAACTTAGCAACTTGGGAGGCTGAGGCAAGAGGACCTTGAGTCCGAGTCCAGCAACTAAGCAAGGCTATTAGCAACTTAGGGAGACCCTGTCTCAAAATTAAAAAAGAAGGGCTGGGAATGTTGCTCAGTTAGCGTGCCTATGGATTCAATTCCTATCACGAAAACAAACAAACAATTAAAAACCCAGCCTGGGCAACATAGCATGTTGGGGAGTAGGAGTAATTAATATGCAGCAAACATTGGATTTGGAATGAGAAAATCTTAAAATTTTATACTGGGTAAGTCACTTACTAATTATATGAATGGGTCTTCTTTAAGTCTCAGTTTTTATTTTAAATTTAAGATTACATTCACTGATTAACTGGACTATAATACTGCTGAGATGAATGTCTATAAAATCACTTTGTAAATAGTTCAATATTATTTCAATTTTAGTTAAAAAAAAAAAAGGTATTATGTTAGGGTTGTAACTTAAGTGGCAGAGAGCTTGCCTTGCACCACCAAAAAATAAAAAAATAAAAAGGTGCTAATATTAGAATGTGGAATTTCAATTACAAGAAAACTGGTTAAGTCACATTTTTCAAATATTTAGTTCCTCATCATATGGAGGACAAAGCAAAATATTAAATTGGTTGTCTGAAATGTTAAAATTAGAGTCATCCAAAATTACTCATAGTAAACCTTTAATTAAAATTTTATGATGTATTTATAAAAGTAAAAATTTCGATAATTTCATATACTGCATATCTATCTAATGGATGTAGGTTGAGTCTCCCTTATCTGAAATGCTTGTGACCAGTGTTTTGAATATCAGGTTTTTTCAGATTCTGCAATATATGCACATGTAAAATGAGATATTTTGGGATGGGATCCAAATTTAAACACTAAATTCACATATACTTCATGTACATCTTACCTACAGTCTGAAGGTAATTTCACACACTGTTTTTAATGTGCCCGTATTTTGACTGTGACCGCATTATACAGGTCATGATGGTATGGAACTTTCCATTTGTGGTATCACACTGGCATTCAAAAAACTTCAATTCTGGATTGCAAATATTTGGATTAGGAATGCCCAACCTGTATATCATTTGTAGACAAATAAACACTGACCACCATTAACATGATAAACAAGAAATGAAATTTTTTTCCAATGGAAAGCATAGTCAGGGGGCTGGGGTTGTGGCTCCGAGCTCTCACCTAGCATGCATGAGGCACTGGGTTCAATCCTCAGCACCCCATAAAAAATAAAATAAAGATATTGTGTTTACCTATAACTAAAAAAATCAATATTAAAAATAAAAAAGAAAAGAAAGGCATAGTCAGGGGTAGACTAAATGGGAGTGGGGTGGAGCAAAACATTTGGAAGATGGGATTTGCTGTGTGAAATACTCACCAAGTGCTGCAGAGTCATGGAGTGGTCTTCTCCTAGAACTTGTGGCAGAGAATGAGTAGTAGGGTGTTCCAGGTTTTCCTGAAGAAGACAGCTGCGCTGGACTCCCAAGTCCTAGATCTTGTCTCAGGAGACTAGACTATAAAACAAGGCCAAGGAAACAAGTCATCTTTCTGCTAATACTGACCCAAACCTGGACATTACTTCTGAATCACTTATAGTAATTCAGAATTGGTAATGCCTTGAACTTAGGAAGCACCTAATAAGAACTTTTTCACTTCAATTAGATCATTGATTTTTAGCCTATATTTTCATTTTTCTCTTGCCTCCGGTTGCCTGCTTTTTGGTAATTATGTAATTAATCTTTGAGTTGAAAGACAGGTAAGTGGCTATGTGATTCCACTCTTTAATCATCAAGAATATTTTTGAAAGTGGTCACCTAGACTTTGAATGCTTTCGTGATCATGAAAGGCAGTTGGCTCGTTGGTTCTTTTCCTTTTTGGATAGCTTTCACTGTGTGATGACTGCCAATCTTTTCAAGTGTTTTTTTTTTTCACTTGAATCTCATTGGATGGGCTCTAATGTCTTCCTCCTCATTTCTGACACCATCCTGTGGGTTTATTTTCAGTTTTTCCAAGTTTCTCATAAAATCAAATGGAAGACAATGCCCAGATCTGGCCTGATTAGTGTGGAATAGTTTTCAACAGTACACATAATCCCTTTGTGTTATCTCACATTGAGAGGTTCAGAATGATCCTAATTCCTGGCTCTTCATTTTGCTGCATCTGCTGCCCTTTTGCCCCTCCATATTATACTTGGTCAGTTTATGCATTTTGGTCTTGAGTACAAGACTCACCGTTGATCTCTGATAAAATTCATCTTGTACTATGTTGAGGGCCACAGTACTATTTGGTCTGCAATAATCATCCATTTCTATCTTTCTCAGATTTCAAGTCTGTCAATCTATGAATTTGCTAACTTTTCTAATGTCAACACATCAAAAGTGTGATAAAAGAAATCCATCAAGATGACAAGGGAGATGAGAGAACTGCTATGTGACCTCATGAAATTCAGATTTGGCAGCCATGAAATACTAACCCAGAGACCCTGCTGGAAGGCAACTGAGTTTAGTTTGGCAGAATTTGGCTCTGGAGATTTCTGGTAATAGACATGAAAAGGGATCACACAAACTAAAAAAACAGGAGAGAAAGAGAAGACCTCAAAGGGAAAGTGTGCTAAATATACTTAAGAGAGCACTCTCAAGTAGAGATATGATGCTTCTGGCACATACACTACCCTCACACCATATATTTAACAGCCCGACTACTATCACCTTACTCTTTGCATTTAGTTCCAGAACACTTTTGTTACCCCAAAAGAAGCCCCATACCCATTAAGCAGTCACTACTACCTCCCCGCTCCCCACCACCCTCCCTTGCCATATTTATTAAGCAGTCACTCCCTCCCTATTCTATCTTCCCTAGGCACTGGCAACCACCAACCAGCTTTCTGTTTCTTTGGGTTTACCTATTCTGAATATTTCATATAAATGCAGTAATGTTACATAAACTTTTGTGTTCGGCTTATTTCACTTAGCATGTTTTTGAAGTTCATTCATCTTGTACCATATATTACTATTCCATTCCTTTGTAAGGCCGAATAATACTTCATCATATGGCTAAGTCACACTTTGCTTATCCATCCATCAACTGATGAATACTTTGAATCGGTTTCCTGTTTTGGTCTGAGAATAGCACTGCTATGAATATTTATGTACAAGTTACTTGAGAATCTGTCTTCAATAGTTGTAGGTATATACCTGGGTGTGGCAGAGCTGGGTTTAACTTTTTAAGAAACTCCCAGTCTGTTTTCCACAGTGGTTGGAGCATTTAATTCCTACCAGGTACATACAAGGTTCCACTTTCTCCTACATCCCTTGCCAATGCTTGTTACTTTGTTTGCTTGCTTGCTTCTTTTTGGGTACTGGGGATTGAACCCAGGAGCACTTTACCACTGAACTACATTCCCAGCCCTTTATAATTTTTCTGATGGTTCTTGCTAAATTGCTTAGGGCCTGGCTATGTTACTGAGGTTGGCCTCAAACCTGCGATCCTCCTGCCTCAGTCTCCTGAGTGTGGCATTATGTCCTGCCTGCTTGTTTTCTTAATGTAGTCATTCATAAATGCTGGATTATTTAAAAAATTTATTTGTATTTTTATATAATTTTTATTTGTTCTAATTGGATCAACATTAGAATGCATTTATGCACTTTGACATGTCATACATAAATAGGGTATATTTTCTCATTTTTCTGATTGTACATGCTGTAGAATAACATTGGACATGCAGCCATATATGTATATAAGGTAATAATTTCGGTTTTATTCTACTATCCTTCCTATCCGTTTACCCCCTCAATTCCCTTCACTCCCCTCTACCTAAAGTAACTCTATTCTTCCCTAGCACTCCCCAACCCCTTGTGAATTAGCATCTGCATATCAGAGAGAACATTCCACATTTGGTTTTCGGGTTTGGCTTATTTCACTTAGAATGATATTCTCCAACTCTATCCATTTATTGGCAAATGCCATAATTTCATAAAATTCTTTAATGCTGAGTAATATTCCATCGTGTTTGTGTGTATACACACACACACACACATTTTCTTTATCCATTCACCTATTGAAGGGCACACAGGTTGGTTCCATAGTTTAGCTATTGTGAATTGAGCTGCTATAAACATTAATGTGGCTGTATCACTGTAGTATGCGGATTTTTTTATGTTTATTTTTTAGTTTTAGGTGGATACAATATCTTTATTTTATTTGTTTATGTGGTGCTGAGGATCGAACCCAGTGCCTCATGCATGCTAGGCAAGCACTCTACCTCTGAGTCACAATCCCGGCCCTAGTATGCGGATTTTAAGTCCTTTGGGTATAAAGCGAGAAGTGAGAGAGCTGGGTCAAATGGTGGTTTGATTCCAGGTTTTCTGAAGAATCTCCATACTGCAGGAGATGGCTGCACCAATTTGTAGTCCCACCAGCAATGTATGAGTGTACCTTTCCCCCCACATCTTCATCAGCACTTATTGTTGCCTGTATTTTTGATGATTGCCTTTCTGGGTGGAGTGAGGTTAAATTTAGGTTTGATTTATACTTCTCTAATTGCTAGAGATGTTGAACATTTTCTCATATATTTGTTGATCAATTGAATTTCTTTTTTTGTGAAGTGTCTGTTCAGTTCCTTAACCAGTTCACTGGGTTATTTGTTTTTGGTCTTCAGTTTTCTGAGTTCTTTATACATCCTGGGGATTAATGCTGTATCTGAGGTGCATGAAGATAAAGATTTTCTTCCATTCTGAAGGCTATCTCTTCATGTTATTGATTATTTCTTTTGTGGAGAAGAAGCTTTTTAGTTTGAATCCATCCCATTTATTGACTCTGGATTTTACTTCTTGTACTTTAGGAAAGACCTCCCATCCTCCGGTATAGGCAGAATCAATATTGTCAAAATGGCCACACTACCAAAAGCATTATACAGATTTAATGCAATTCCTATTAAAATCCCAAGACATTCTTCAAAAAACTAGAAAAAAGCAATTGTGAAATTCATTTGTAAAAATAAGAGACCCAGAATAGCCAAAGCAATCCTTAGCAAAAAACGTGAAACAGGAGGCATCACAATGCCAGAGATTAAACTATACTAGAGAGCTACAATAATAAAAACAGCATGGAGTTGAATTATCTTAATGTGGGTTTGATACATATGACCCTAATGATGAACAATAGTGAACATTTTTTTCATATGCTTAATAGCCATATGAATATCTTCTTTGAAAAAAATGTCTTCTTAAAACCTTGCCCATTAGGTAGAAAGGCATTGGTACATTGTCTTTTGGTGGTTGAATTTTAAGAGTTCTTTATTTGTTCTAGGGGCTGGGGATGTGGCTCAAGCGGTAGCGTGCTCGCCTGGCATGTGTGTGGCCCGGGTTCGATCCTCAGCACCACATACAAAGATGTTGTGTCCGCCGAAAACTTAAAAATAAATATTAAAATTCTCTCTCTCTTAAAAAAAAAAAGAGTTCTTTATTTGTTCTAGATGCCAGATAGTTATCATATATGATTTGCATATATTTTCTCTCATTCTACAAATTTCCTTTTTTTGAAAATGTCCTTTTTGATAAATAAAGTTTTCATTTTTGATAACTAATTTTTTCATGTTTCTGATTCTTGTGATGTCCTATTTAAGAATCCACTGTCATATCTAAGATCATGGAAATATAGCCCTATATCCTGAGCCACAATCCCAGCCCAACCCTATATCTTCTCTAGAGTTTTATGGTTTTTAACTCTTATATTTAGGTCTTTGATATGATCTAACTTTTGCATAGGTTGTGAGCAAAGGTCTAACTGCATATTTTTACAGGTGATGGCTAGTTGTCCAGTACCATTTGTTGAGAATACTATTTCCCTATTCAGTAGTGTTGGAATCCCTTTTGAAAATTAATTGGCTATAGACATTTGGGCTTATTTCTAAAATCTCAGTTCTACCCTATTGGTTGACATGTCTGCTTTATGCTAGTGCCATACTGTTTGACTTAGGTAGCTTTGTAAGTAAGTTTTGAAATTGAAAAGGGAGATTACTCCAACATTGTTCTTCTTTTCCAATGTTGTTTTGCTATTTGGGATCTCTTGAAATTCCATATAAATTTTAGTATCAGCTATTTCATTTCTGAAAAAGGAAGCCATTGGAATTCTAACACGAATTGCACTGAATCAGCAGATTTCTTTGGGAAATATTGGCATTTTAATACACATATACAGTATTAGGGACTAAATACAGGGGAACTCTACCACTGACCTACATTCCCAACCCTTTATGAGACAAAGTCTCACTAAATTGCCATGGCTGGCCTTGAATTTGTGATCCTTCTGCCGTAGTGACCCAAGGGGTTAAGATTACAGGTGTATACCACCATGCCCAGCCCATTTTATAATATTAAACTTTCCAGTCAATTAATAGCTAATGTGCTCCCATTTATTGTGGTGTTCTTTAATTTCTTTTGGCAATGCTTTGTAGTTTCCAGTATTCAGATTGCTTACCTCATGCTTAAATTTATTCCTAAATATTTGATTCATT